TTGATGATACATATTTATTCACCATTTGTAATTTATATTATCAATGTTCTATTCATGTATGTTTATTACATTACAATGATTAAATTACTTTTTCATTTTAAATAAAACAATGTTACTGTAACATCCTGTTTCGGATCGTCCGTGATTAGGGTTCATGGGCTGCAACCCGGGAATGAGGAAGCCTCGGGATTGCGACGAGTTGCTAGAAGCGTAGGGCATCTCGTCACATTTCCATGGATATGAGGTTCATTGGAAACAGGGTTATATCGATGAAGCTATGAAAGTTTGAAGTTTTGGCAGGATAAGTCCCTTATTTGAGAAAGGTGGCAGCTGAGTACGATGGGCGTACGTGTGTGTACGCTTAGCGTACTCATGTGCGTGACTCTTAAGCGGAGCCACCTAGTACGCTGGGCGTACTAGGCACAAAATTAAAACCCTAAATGGCCTCATTCCTAGCCACCATCCTCAGACAATAAACCCTCTCAAACCCTAACCTCGTTCTTGAGCTTGTGTGTGTCCATTTGAGAGCCCTTAAGTGATTTTGTGTGTTCTTGGAGTGAAGAAGGAGCTTTGGAGAAGAAGGAGTGAGAGTCCAGGCCTTGGACCTAAGCATATCTGAGTTGGAAGCTTCATCTAGAGGTATAAAGCTCCAAGCTTTCTCACTCTTTTGTTTTGTGCATCATAATAGAGTATTTTAGGGTTTTGTCCCAAAAGTTGGAGACTTTATGTGATATTTGAGCTCCAGAGACTATGATCAACCCCTTTGAGTGTATTTGGTGGTGTAATGTCATAAAAATCAAGTCTTGGACGTTGGAATCAAGCCATGCATGAGATATGAGCATTTTGAGATAAGAGAGTGAGAGTTTTGTGTGTTTGTGACCTTATAAGCCATGCAAAGGCTTAAAGTCACTGACTTTGTGGAGTAAGAGCTATTAGGGAGTCCAGATCTGTGATATGAGCCAAGGTCTTAACTGATTAAGACCAAATGAATAGAAAGAGTGAAACTGGGACGTACGCAGAGCGTAATTCCAGTACGCCCCGCGTACTGACCAAGTGTCCCCGATGGCCAATCTGGATTCGTGAGTACGTTGAGCGTGCCAAGGGAGGTACGCCCCGCGTAACCTCACTGTGGACTTTTGGGCTAAGTCTCATTTTGGGCCTTGAGTGTTGGGCCTGATGTTTGGGCTTGTTGCACTAGAGTTTTGGACCAGAGGAATATATATGTGCCTTGGGCCCTTGAGTTGGGCTTGCTACTTGGACTTGAGAGTTGGGCCTCGGGAGAGCCCATTTGTTATTGGGCCTTGGTGGGCCCAATGGGTTTTTGGTTATAGATGGGCTGGTTAGTGGGCTACCTTTAGACATAATGAGTGAGAGTTTGGACTTAGTTCCTAATTGGGTTAATTGTGGGTTTGGCTTAGAGATAGAGGCCGGTGCGCAGCAGCAACGTTTATAGGGGCTGTTCATCATCCGAGGTGAGTCTTCTCACTATACTTACCATGAGTGGTATCTATGAATGACCGGAGGGTCTTTTGTGCTTATTTGAGTTACATCATGTTATAAATTTTGTCTATGTGATATATATGCTATATTCTGTGTTTTACTGAGATAGGACCGATGGGTCCAATCCGAGTTGTGGGACTGGAGGGTTCCACTGAGATAGGACCAGAGGGTCCAAACCGAGCTGTGAGACCAGAGGGTCCTCACTGAGACACACGACCGGAGGGTCCACACCGAGACGCATGAGACCGGAGGGTTCATGCCGAGTTATAGCCATGAGAGGCTTATTACTTGTGTTTGTGGTATTTTGGGGAACTCACTAAGCTTCGTGCTTACCGTGTTATGTGATATGTGTTTCAGGTTCTTCTCAGGATCGCGGGAAGGCGCCGACTTGATTGTACACACCAGAGAAAGTGTTATGTTTCGAGGATCCTGAATTATTAATCATACAATTATGGAGTTGCGTTTTGTAAATTAAATAAATGAGATTTTTGTGAAATGTGTTATGAGAATTATGTGATTTTAAAATGAAAAATTTGTTTGAAAATTTACGGTGTTACAGTTACTTTCATGATTGATTTTCTTTGTTTTTTTCGTTTTATTAATTTTTTATTTCATTATACAACATCATCATATACTTTAAAATAAAGATGATATAGTTACGGGCAACACATTAAACTTTGTAAATAAATTATTGATTTGCATATCTATGAATAATGAGTTTTATTTTATAGCTTATATGCTGTTTTATAGTTTATATGTCTTATAAAAAGTTATGATTTTATCAAATAACTAAACTTACAATACGTAAATTATTTATTCATAACTGTGTATATATTTATTTTAGAACAAAATTAGAAACTTGGTCACAAAACTTCTATCTTTGTTAGTTAATAAATATTTGCAAATATTTGATAGTCATTACAACTTCGATTATGAATATTTTTTTTCTCAACCGTGGTTTCCACGGGTTTAAACCTAGTGTAAAATAATGATAAATATCTTACAATATTATCAATTTTATCTAAATATAAGATTTGTTACCATTTCACATGAATAAAAAAAATTAAGAAGAAAAAGTAGAAGGATATTTAATTTCTTGTTTGGTAAATATTTTTTTTATGAAAAAAACCCATTTTGGTAAAAAAAACTCCGGTTTAGTTGGCTGAATCATCTCAATCTCAATCATTATATAATAAAGGTCGAAGATTTTGTTCAGTTTTTGACTTGTGAACTGTGAAATGGAAATGGAGTCGCCTTTTAAGCCAAAGATTTTGAAAGCGAGCCCTTTTGACCGGAGGAGCTTCTGGCATATACAAGATTTCCACACAGTTCGGTAAACATGGCACTTTCATCGCCGTCATGGGCTGTCGCAAAGTCATAGTTGACTATGTTGTCTCCTCCCTTTCGGTAATCTTACCTACCACCTATTCATTTTTCTCTCAGCTAACAATTATAGTAGAATATTAGAATATTCTAACAATTCTAGTAGAATATTAGAATATTTTAGGAGTGACCGGTAGTGGTCTGGTGTGGTGATAGACCGCAACAGTTGTAATCCAAATTTTCGATGGTGGTTCAGATATTTGACAATGATGGTGCAAATTTCCGGTGGGTAGATTTTGATTTGAAGGGAGGTGAGAGGAAGATAGAGAGTGCGGAAAGGGGTGGATATTTTCTATAATCTTGGTTCATATGTGCAGAGGTAAAATGAAGGTAAATGGTAGTTTGAGTGCAACCTAAAAGTTCACTCCTGCCATCTTTCCTAAAGCCTCTAAGATGTAAGCATGATATTTTATGAAGAACGAAGCACAATTTATGGTGGGTTTTGTTACGAGATGGTGGCAAATGGGAGAGAGAGAGAGAAGAGAAGAAGAGAGAAGAGAGAGAGAGAAGAGAGAGAGAGAGAGAGAGAGAGAGAGAGAAAGCTCACTTCTTTTTTAAATGTTATAATTAATAAAAAATAAACAGTCAAAAAGAAAATAAACAAGGGCAATATAGTTTTCATGTCATGCAAGAGATGAATCGTGAAAATTTAAACCAATAAAGATGAAGCGTGCAACTTTTAACCAAACAATGAACGATCTGAAATAATTTTAAAAAATGAGGACTAAATGTGCATTTTTGTATTTGCACAAGGATTGATCAGTATAATTTGGAAAGATATTATTTTTCATACCGTTTTGGTCTGCTGAATCATCTCGATCTCAGTCATAGAGAGAGAGAGAGAGAGAGAGAGAGAGAGAGAGAAAGCCCACTTCTTTTTTAAATGTTATAATTAATAAAAAATAAACAGTCAAAAAGAAAATAAACAAAGGCAATATAGTTTTCATGTCATGCAAGAGATGAATCGTGAAAATTTAAACCAATGAAAGATGAAGCGTGCAACTTTTAACCAAACAATGAACGATCTGAAATAATTTTGAAAAATGAGGACTAAATGTGCATTTTTGTATTTGCACAAGGATTGATCGGTATAATTTGGAAAGATATTTTTTTTCATACCGTTTTGGTCTGCTGAATCATCTCGATCTCAGTCATAGAGAGAGAGAGAGAGAGAGAGGGAGAGAGAAAGCCCACTTCTTTTTTAAATGTTATAATTAATAAAAATAAACAGTCAAAAAGAAAATAAACAAGGGCAATATAGTTTTCATGTCATGCAAGAGATGAATCGTGAAAATTTAAACCAATGAAAGATGAAGCGTGCAACTTTTAACCAAACAATGAACGATCTGAAATAATTTTGAAAAATGAGGACTAAATGTGCATTTTTGTATTTGCACAAGGATTGATCAGTATAATTTGGAAAGATATTTTTTTTCATACCGTTTTGGTCTGCTGAATCATCTCGATCTCAGTCATAGAGAGAGAGAGAGAGAGAGAGGGAGAGAGAAAGCCCACTTCTTTTTTAAATGTTATAATTAATAAAAAATAAACAGTCAAAAAGAAAATAAACAAGGGCAATATAGTTTTCATGTCATGCAAGAGATGAATCGTGAAAATTTAAACCAATGAAAGATGAAGCGTGCAACTTTTAACCAAACAATGAACGATCTGAAATAATTTTGAAAAATGAGGACTAAATGTGCATTTTTGTATTTGCACAAGGATTGATCAGTATAATTTGGAAAGATATTTTTTTTCATACCGTTTTGGTCTGCTGAATCATCTCGATCTCAGTCATAGAGAGAGAGAGAGAGAGAGAGAGAGAAAGCCCACTTCTTTTTTAAATGTTATAATTAATAAAAAATAAACAGTCAAAAAGAAAATAAACAAAGGCAATATAGTTTTCATGTCATGCAAGAGATGAATTGTGAAAATTTAAACCAATGAAAGATGAAGCGTGCAACTTTTAACCAAACAATGAACGATTTGAAATAATTTTGAAAAATGAGGACTAAATGTGCATTTTTGTATTTGCACAAGGATTGATCGGTATAATTTGGAAAGATATTTTTTTTCATACCGTTTTGGTCTGCTGAATCATCTCGATCTCAGTCATCGTATAATAAAGGTCCAAGATTCAGTTTTTGACTTGTGAGTTGTGAAACGGAACCAATGGAGTCGCCTTTCAAGCCAGAGATTCTGAAAGGGAAGGTAGCCCTTTTGACCGGAGGAGCTTCTGGCATCGGATTCGAGATTTCCACACAGTTCGGTAAACATGGCGCTTCCATCGCCATCATGGGCCGCCGCAAAGCCATAGTTGACGCTGCCGTCTCCTCCCTCCGCTCTCTCGGTATTCCGGTATTCTTACCTACCACCTACTCCTTTTCTATCTCAATTCTCAGCTAACGAGCACCACTCAAACTAGGGTTTGGTTTCAGTATTACCTACCTATTAGGCCATTTCTGAATTCATTCATCACTTCCATTTCCGATCATCCAGTTCCTTGTGTCCGTTTATAAATAAATAAATGTCGAATTTGAATCTATGTATTTTGTTTTATGGTGTTGCTTCTGCAGGCTGCTGGTTTTGCGGGTGATGTTCGCAACCAAGAAGATGCAAAGAGAGTAGTGGAATCAACCATTGAGCACTTCGGAAGGCTCGATATTCTTGTGAATGCTGCAGCTGGCAATTTCCTGGTCTCACCAGAAGATCTATCTCCAAATGGCTTTCGTACAGGTTTTGCACTACAAATTCATGCTAATTAATCAATTGCTTAAACGATCCCTAATTCTCCATTTGCATAATATGTTTTCCTTAATTTGTTGGTCCAGTTATGGACATCGATTCTGTTGGCACATTCACCATGTGCCGGGAAGCACTGAAGTATCTTAAGAAAGGAGGAGCAGGAAGAAAGGAATCAGATAATGGGGGATTGATTTTGAACATCAGTGCCACCTTACACTACACAGCTTCTTGGTACCAAATTCATGTATCTGCTGCTAAGGCAGCTGTAGATGCGATTACAAGAAATTTGGCTCTTGAATGGGGTACTGATTACGACATACGCGTGAATGGAATTGCACCTGGACCAATAAACGACACCCCTGGAATGAGGAAGCTTGGGCCAGAGGAGATAAACACCAAAACAAATAGAGATGTTATGCCTCTGTTCAAACTTGGGGACAAATGGGATATTGCTGTTGCAGCCCTCTATCTTGCATCGGATGCTGGTTTGTAAACAAACCTAATTCTTTAGAAATTTGTTATTATTATTATTGTTAAGAAGTTAACGTTTTATTTTTATGACATGAATTGAAGGTAAGTATGTGAATGGGATGACACTTGTTGTTGATGGAGGACTGTGGCTGAGCCGGCCACGTCATTTACCAAAGGAGGAAGTCAAAATGCTTTCTCGGGTAGTAGAAAAGCGAGCCAGACAGGCGCCAACCGGGGTACCTTCTAGTAAACTCTAGGGAACGCCGTTCTTATTGGTTGTTATTTGTTAATAAGAATAAGAATTTAAATTGTGACATGGATTTAATATGTATTATTATGTTATATGATATTTGATAAGGTTATATGTCACTATAATGAAGTGAATCCATCCTAAATATTCATTGTATTTTGCAAATAAATCTTGTGTCTTTTGAGACATTCCTCCATCATGTTCTGCAAATCTTCACCGGAAGAGACATCTAGTAACCAATTAATCAAAGATCCTCAACAGGAAGCTGAATTGGTTCTTTGCAGGTATGGTGACACTTATAATCTTTGGAGCTTTCTATAAATAGGATAGGGTAATCCTAGACTATGCATTGAATTAAAAATTGATAAAACCTTACGCATATGAAAAGTTATGTGGATGTGGATGCTAATTAGACAATGGATATTGCTCTGTTTGATGTTGAAGATGATGATTGGTTGGGATTTGGGAATCAAACTAAAGTAAGAAATTACACTAAAAATAGTCTTTTTAGGTAAGACAGGGACCAATAACGTAACAAAAAAAACAGCAGGGACCTTCTGAGTTAAAAAAATAAGTTAGTGACCAAACACACAAATTAACCTAAACCATAGGGACCATTCATGTAATTTACTCAAACTATATGTAATCAAGGTATAGTCTTAACACTATTCTATTTTAAAGTTATATACTAGTACTCCACAATACAAAGATGGTAATTTTTTATTTTGTTTGTTTGAAATGAGAAGGCCAGTGAAAGCTGTGACAGGACTTCAGAGGATTATAATAAGGTAGGAAGATATCCGGGGTATGCAGAAATTAGAACCAAATATTTCATTTTATATGTTAGGTGGTTATTTTTTGCCTTATAATGTGGTTACAAAACCTCGCCAATCACAATCTATCATTAAACATATACTGCTGCTGCTACCATCGCAAAAAAAAGTTCGATTCTTATTAAGGGACAAGCCATTCCAACAATAGAAAAAAATGTCGGTCGCTTTGGTGTCATTTATGTGAAATATCTTGATTTTTTAAAATTGTTGAAATGAGAAGTTATACCAGCATTTTGCTAAAATTGTTTATGTAGACCAGGAAGGTTGATTAATTGTCCATTTATAATGATATATAAAGATGGTAAATTGAATAACAATAAATAATCAACTCTAGGCAACAAATCAGGATTAATAATTTAAATTCAAATTCAAATAAATTTCATTTTGATGTTTAAAATTTGTATTTAAGAATTTAAGATAATTCACAATGATCATATCTAGCATAAAAACCATGATACTAAATCGTTATTTTATATATTAATCAAATGTGACTTGATTAAACCCGATTATTCACACGTGATTAATGGCGTGTTTGGCAAAAGTAGCTGTTAGCTGGAAGCGGTTAGCGGGTAGCTGGTAGAGGGAAACTATAGCTTTTATTTGTTATATGACTGTTTGACAAAAGTAGCTGGATGCTTTTGAAATATATAAAATTACATAAAATGACAACCGATTAAAAATTAATAAATATATAAATATATTTTTAAGGGTAATTATGGAAATTGATTTTAAAAGCTCAGTAGCGTTTTGTTAAACGCTACATGAAGTAGCTTTTAGATTTAGAGCGTTTTGTTTAAACTAAAAGTTAAACGCTCGTATTGCCAAACGAAGTTTTTTGTTTATACTAGAGCGTTTTGTCAAAAGTTAAACCCAAAAGCTCTCAAACGCTTACAAAAGCTCCGTGCCAAACACACCCTAAATCGTGCTCTCGTGTTATCGATTTCATAATTGTTTTCGTTTAAACCTCCCTTTATATATATATATATATATATATATATATATATATATATATATATATATATATATATATATATATATATATATATATAATGGTTATTCAATCTAGGTTTTTTAAGGCATTAAAAGAAATCATTTTTAAAACACTATTCGGTTTTCATCCCATACTTCTATCCGACTCTTACATTGGTTCATATCACGTAAACGTTTAAAGTATTTTCTGATTTTGAAAAGATAATTCTTATATTTGGTTGCAATGAAACTGTTATTTTCAGTTCCTATCACACTTCATCTTTACAGAGAGCTATTGAATGTAAATAACTTCCTCATATCATGTAACTTTTTTCTTAATATTTTTTCATTTTTTATGCAGAAAATATACATTAAAATAATTGAAAAGAAAATCTTTTTTTTTTATAATGTAGAAACATAGAAAATAAAAATATTTTTGGATTTTTTCTCATATTTATATGTAAATGCAATGCAGAAAATAAAATGCAAAAAGGAAAACGAAAATTTTAACTTAAAAACTAAAAAATTTATTTTTTTTAACAAAAAGTGCAAAATCAAAAAATGAAATTTTTTAACTAACTCACTCCCAAGCATAGAATGATGCATTGTCCTTAATGCTCAGAGAAGAATGAACAGTAAAGCATATAAACACAGAAAGTTGCAGCTAGGAAATAATGTACCTGATATGTTGCAAAAAGTTCTGATTTTGACAAATTTATTGGCGAAAAATCTGATTTTCAGCAACTTAGAAGATCCTCTGGTTTCCCCAAGCTTGCTTGGAACTGCGACCATTCTTTATTGAAAGCAGAAAAAAAATATAAACTACTCGTCGGGTTGCCTCCCAGAAAGCCGACCTTTTTTTAAAGTCTTTGGCTCGATTGTGCGGAACCAGATTTTTAACTGGTGAATATGGGACTCATCTTCAGCTCAACTTTTTTTTTTCCAAACTCCAGATCCTTTTAGATGTGGTATAATTGTAGGATCTGGTGGTTTCATACAATGCCGAAAAGTCCTCAGATTTTAATTTGATAAGTTTTTCTTCGGATTCTTAAGTTTTGTTCTTTTTCTGATCTTCTTTCAAGAAAATCTTCTTCTTCTTCTCTTCCGCAAGCTTTCTTCTTTTTAACTTCTTTTTCAGAATTCACCTTCTCATTTTCTTTCCCAAGCTTGTCTTTTTTATTAGGTTTTTATCAGCTCCTTTAGCAGAAATCATATCCTCCTTCACCTCCCCAAGATCAGCGGGCTTGGGCCGCTTAGTCGCCGACTGCGACTGTTGATAGGTGCATTTTATGCACCTATTTTGCATGTTTATTTTCGTCCTTTCATATCATTCTACTTCATAATTCTTGCATTTAGTCAATTATTTGGGCAATTGCATATTTTATTGAGAATGCCTGATACTTCACTATTTTTGAATTATTTTGCAGGCATTATGGAACTTGAGTCTTGGAGCATGGATGCATGGAGCTTGGAGCATGGAACTTGAGGCTTGGAGCATGGAGCATGGAGCTTTAGAGCATGAAAAGAAGATGTACCGGTCATGCCATGGAAGAAAACATGAAAACATAACCCGAGTCATTGTTGCATTGTCATCATAGCAAAGGACTACGTTTGAAATGCGGTTCGTGTCACACTGACACATGTCGTGTTTGTCCTTTATCATCTCATATTTGAGCAACATGGCTCGTGGTGAAGCTAGATTGAAGATGGAGCCAACACTGAAGACTTATTTGATTTTTAGCAAAAAGCATGGGCCATGCCAAAAACACATGGTCAAGATAAATGGCCATGCCAAAAACACATGGGCAAAATGCATGGCCATGCTAAAAACGCATGGCCTTATGACATGCACGTGAACATTAATTAAAACAGGAGAAGACGTCATTTTGGAGGCAGAGACGGTTTTTAGAGAACTTATGGCGATCTTGGGCAACTTTGGGAGATTTCTTGGAGCTTTTGAGAAGACCTAATCATTGCAAACACTTTTGATTTCATTTTTGTAAGCATTAAACATTTCCAATTTCATCTTTCTCTTTGATTGATTTGTTCTTAGCCATGTGTGGCTAAGAAACCCTAGTTTCTAGTTCTTGTTCAAAACAATTTGATTGCTTGACTTGAAGCATATGATTTGATGTTTGATTTGTGATTCTATTCTAGTGATTATGTTTTTGTTTAAACTAGAATCCTTGAATTTGATTTGTGTTTGATTGGCCACTTTCATGAATTGAATTTTTGTGTAGTTAATTAACTTTTAGGGCACCTAATCGTTCTATTAAGTTAATAATTGGTATCAAGCAATAAGTTTTCTTATTGTAAAACATATATCACATGTTTTCACACTTCCGAGCGTATGAGAAGAAATGAACATTATTGGGAAGCTTGTACAAAACTTAATGCAGTTTTTCAATACAATCTAAGAGCGTGTTTAGGTTGAATTAGTAAAGCTAGGTTTAGTCAAAGAGCGTGTTTTGGTTAGATAATTTGACAAGCGAGAGGTATTAGAGCATGTTAATATCTTTCAGTACCAATTTAGAATAACAATCATGAATTACATCAAGTCATAATCAAGTTGAACAACAACATTGAGAACTGGAACTAGAACCATTCAATCAAATTGTTTACAAGTTTATTTCATTTTGTGCATGCTTTTAAAGTAGATTGTTATTTTATTATTTTACTTTTGCAAACAAACCCCCCCCCCCCTTGTAACCAAAGTACCTTACGCAAAGAGGTATAGACTTTTATCCCGTGTCTCTGTGGTTCGACCCTGCTTGCCTTGTACTACTTTTTAGTGCATTAAAGTAGTGTATTTGGAGTCTGTTGTACCCCTATCATTTGTTGGGTTTGACACGCTTAACAAATTGGCGCCATTGTCGGGGACACGGTGTTACTAATTGTTTATGCCTAGATCTTATCGTACTGGTACACCACTGCCAATTGACTTGGAGATATAGAAGACTATAAAGAGGTTAAGGAAGCAAGCCAAGCTTCGTAAGAGGCCACCGGTTTTCGGGACTTCTTCATCATCTACCCCTCCAGTCATTAACATTTGGGAGGACATACCCCTCTCAAGTGTGTCCGCATCTGAAACAGAAAGTCCATCACCTTTACTTCAACCATCTTCACCCAGAAGTACCACTCCACCTACTCATAATATCCCAAACACTACACCCACATAAACCTCAACCCCTACTCATACCATGGGAGATAACCATAGAGGGAATCCACCACCCGAGCAAACCCTTCGTCAATGGGCAAGGCAAGAGGTTACTCAACAAGCTCTTTGCATCACCTATCCGACAGCCACAAACCTTGAACTAAAATCCGGTCTTATCCACCTC